GCTAGCAGGTGAAACTAGGACTAGGGGGCATTGCCTCAAAGTAAAGGGAAGCGGATGTAGGACTGAGGTCAGGAGGAACTTCTTCACCCAAAGGGTTGTGAATCTGTGGAATTCCCTGCCCAGTGAAGTGGTTGAAGCTACCTCGCTGAATGTGTTAAAGGCAAGGCTAGATAAATTTTTAAACAGTAAAGGAATTAAGGGTTATGGTGAGTGGGCGGGTAAGTGGAGCTGAGTCTCAAAAAGATCAGCCATGATCTTATTAAATGGCTGGGCAGGCTCGAGGGGCCAGATGGCCTACTCCTGCTCCTAGTTCTTATGTTTATGTTCTTATGCTGAAAAATAGGATTAGAATAGTTAGGTGGTTGTTTATGACCAGCACAGACTTGATGAACGGGGGGTTTTGTCTATGTTATAAATTGTTACATCTCTATGATTCTGATGTTACCCATGGATATGAGTAGGAACTATGATCGTTGATGCTGCTGCTCGTTCTCACCATTAGCATGTTAAACGAAGGTACTGGGAGGGAGTTCAACTTAATCAGTTACGAGCTGCACTGATTCTTGCTTCGTTTTTTTCAGTGTGTGGTGGGATTTTTCAAAATCCTGAGGGTTCATTTTCCAGCCCCCGTTATCCAGCACAATATCCGGCAAATCTGGTTTGTGTTTGGCAGATTATGGCAGAACTGGGCTACGTGATCAGGTTTAAAATCGACTCGATGAACATCGAAGGGCAGGCACCGTGTCACTTTGACTGGCTTGATCTTCATGAGGAGACGGAGAATGGGCTTCACTCTCATCAGATAGCAAGGTCAGTCTGCAGTCTGACAAAAAAAACAAAAATGTGCTCAAAATGAATTTCACTGGTGTTCACTGAATTTGGGGTAATTTTATCTGAGCGTACTGGGTGAAATTTACATCCTGCCTGACTGCACTGATTTTTATAGAGAGTAAAATCAGGTGATGTGTACAAAACAGTATCGTTCCCGAACCTGTCAGTTTGGACCTATTTGTTAGTAATCTCGTTTTGACCCTCTCCACCCAGTTCCGAGTGTTCAGCACCATTTGTAATGTCAGATACTGAAGCAGTCCATACCCAAATGCTCAAGACCTGGATCACATCAATTTCCTAATGGAATGTTGTGCTTAATTGACTTTTTGAAGATTTTTGTGGAAGTAACAGAGAGGGTTAGAAACACAGAAGTTAGAAATTGGCCCTTTGAACCTTCAGATTCATCATGATAACGGCTAATGCCATTATTCCTGCTTTCTCTATGTCCACTGTAATGATTAGAACCAGGTGGACCTTGTTCACGATGAGATCCTTGATTGGGGTTGTTAACCAGGCCAATCAGGATGTCCTGGCTGACCAACATAATCAAGGGATTTAGAATCTCCTCAGTCTAGGGGACCAACTCTGATCTGGTTGGCCACAGCCACTGTACTGTGCACTAGTAAATAAAGGGGGACTTGATGACAGGATACAAGCCTCTGCACAGTTATTTCATACCCCTTGATGTCTTTAAGATCTAAAAAAAAATGATCAATCTCTTTCTTGAATAAATACAAAGACCGACCTTCACCACCTTCTGTAATAGTGAACTTCACAGGCTGACCAACCTCCGAGTGAAAAAAATTTTCTTCACCTCCGTTCTGAATTGCCCACCCTATATCCTGAGACTGTGACCACTAGTTCTAGATTCCTCAACTAGGAAGTCCCTTTATCTGTCCAACCCAGTTAGAATTTTATACGAGACTTGGTAGCTGCTACAGTGTATCTTGCAGAGGATACGTATTGCTGCCACTGTGTGGTGATGGTGAAGGGAGCGAACGTAGAAGGTGCTGGATGGGGTAGCAATGAACAGGCTGTTTTATCCTGGATCGTGTCAAACTTCTTGAACATTGTTGGAGTTGTACCAATCCAGACAAGTAGAGAGTATTCCAACTCAATCCTGACTTGTGCCTTGTAAATGTAGATACGGACTCAGAAGGTAGGAAGTGTGCCACTCACCACAATAGTCCTAGCCTCTGAACTGCTTTTATAGCCCCGTAATATTGATATAGTAACCTGCAGGATGTTGATGTGAATATCAAGGGGAAATGGTTAAACTCTCCCTTGTTGGAGATGGTAATGGCCTGGCAGTTCTGTGGCATAAATGTTACTTGCCACGTGTCAGCCCAAACCTGGATCATAGAATCACAGACTTGGTACAGTGCAGAAAAAGGTCATCGGCCTTTCATGTCTTCAAATAAGCATCTTCACTCAGTGCCGTTCTCCTGCCTTCTTCCTGCACATTCTTCATTTTAAGCAACCACATACTTCCCTCCTGCCTCCACCACACTCCCTGGCAGTTCATTCCAAACCCTAACCATATCTCTTTTGTATTTTTTTTATTAAAGCTTTAAATCTCTGCCATCTCATGCTTGATCCTTTCACAGAGAGGAACATTTTCTCCTTGTTTACTCAGTTCAGATATTACATGATTTTCTTACTCTTCAATCTATTTTCATAACTGAAATTCCTCATCCCCAGAACCATTCTTGTAAACCTCTTCCAGACTCTCTTTCCAATGCCCTCACATCCTCCCTTAAGTGTTGTGCCCAGAACTGGACGCAATACTCCAGCTGAGGCCATACTAGAGTCTTATAAAAGTTCAACATAACCTCCTTGCTCTGACATTGTATGCCCTTTTAATAAAGCCTAGGATACTATATGCTTTATTATGCTTCAACTTTGATGAAGAGTCATCTAGACTTGAAACATTAGCTTGCTCTCTCTCCATGAAGAGAGATAACAAGGTGTAGAGCTGGATGAACACAGCAGGCCAAGCAGCATCAGAGGAGCAGGAAGTCTGACGTTTCGGGCCTAGACCCTTCTTCAGAAATGGGGGAGGGGAAGGAGGTTCTGAAATAAATAGGGAGAGAGGGGGAGGCGGATAGAAGATGGATAGAGGAGAAGATAGGT